CTCACTAACGCTTTGTTAAGAAACGAGGCAGGGGTCATTTTGATAGAAAATGAGGAAAAGGCAGATAGGTGGAAAGAATATTTAGAGAACCTATGCGCAAGTCATGAGTTAAGAGGTATATTAGAGAAGGAAAATAGTGTGAAGGTAGATGAACTAGGTTATTCCATAAGGAGAGAAGAGTTCGATATAGCATTAGAAAACTTAAAGAATAATAAAGCGCTAGGTACAGATACAGGCGGAAATTCTCAAACATACAGGACAAGAGGTTAGAGATCGTACGTTTAAGCTAGTTAGTCACATTTACGAGACGGGGACAGGATTTTAAACGGAACGTGGTAGTAATTATACCCAAAAAGAGAGGCATGGATAGGTGCGAGACATTTAGAACAATTGGCTTAATTTCCCATGCGTCAAAAATCTTATCTAGAATAGTCAGAGGAGGATGGAAAAAAGGGCGGAAGAAAAGTTAGGGGAAGATCAGTTTGGGTTTAGAAGAAATAGAAGAACGCGGGAGACCAGCTTTACGGGTAACAATAGAGAAAACGATAGAAAAAGGAAAGGGTACATATATAGGATTTGTAGATTTAAAAAAATCTTTTGACAATGTTAAATGGGACAAGAAGTTAAATATACTTAAAAATATACGGATGAATTACAAAGTTAGAAGAGTGATACTTAGTTTGTACAAAGAGCAACATGCTGTTATAGAGCTGAGGCAGAGTAGTAAATTTTAGGTAGGGAGTCGGTCAGGGATGCACACTGTCACCGCTACTTTTTAATCTAGACATTGAAGATGCGATCAGCATCATTAAAGACAGTACAATTGTAGGGATATATATCCAGGGGCAAAAGATTAGTACGCTTAGAATTACAGATGATACAGCAGTATTAGGGTCTAGCAAGGAGGAGTTAGAAAGAGGTTTACATAAAAGCGGTATTAACAGAACAATATATATAAAAATAAATAAAAGTAAAACAAAACTAGTGGTATGCAATGGAAGAAAAAGTATGGAAAGTTCGAATTTAACAATAGGACACGAAAAATCATAAGAAGTAACTGATTTTAGGTATGTAGGACGTCAGATAAGTTAGGACGGAAAGAGCATTGGGATATAGAAGAAAGAATAGCACAGGGTCGGTGGGCGCGGCGGAAAACAAAAGGTTAGAAGCGTTCGAAATGTGGTGGTACTGGCGAATGAAGGAGGATACAGAGGATAGAGAAGGAAAAAATGAAGAGTTATTAGAAAGAATAGAAGAACAGAGGACTGTAAGGAAGTCAATAAGAAATAGGCGAGATAGGTTAGTAGGACACCTTCTCAAACATGAATGTCTAGTCAGAGACATATTAGAGGCAGAAACGGGTGTTAGGTGGGGTAGAGGTAGGGCTAGATTAGATTACTGTTCACAAATAGTTAAGGATATGGGATGTTCTAGTTTTAGGGAAATGCGAAGATTAGCTTAGGATAGGAATGAGTGGAGGTGCGTGTCCAACCAGTCTTAGGACTGACAACCTTATGATGATGATGATGATGATATATACATATAACGGATTAAGAGAAGTACTTAAGTGATCTAAAAGAACAGTCAGGTAGATATGAATTTCTTAAAAAGGAAGAAGATTATCTTGGTTATCTCAGTCCTTTCAATGTTTTTCAATTTGAAGTTAATTTTGATTATGAACAATGTAACATATAAACCGATATTTATTTACCAATTTATTACTGGTCACAAGCGGTCCGCCTGAATCTCCAAAGCAAGCGCCTTTTTTGCCACTTCCTGAAGTACAAATGTTTGAATTAATAAATCCAGAGGCCACTTCATTACACTTATCGTTTGTTAGAATGGTTACATTGACACATCGCAATATTACATTGAGAGCGACAGCATTATCAGAAGTGTCTCCCCAACCACACATTATTGCCTTAGATCCTGCGAAACTATTTGAAGCATCAGCTCTACTAGGCAGTGCAATTAACTGAACGTAGCCTGTAAAGATTGAATGATGTTTGGTAAACGAGTAAACACAAATCACAAAATCTATAGGTTCGTATAGGTACGTCAGAACGGATCCAAAAAATGACAAGTGTGAAAATTAAATTGCTGAAGAGGATTTTTACTGTTACTTTAAAAACTTCTTCGAGTTTCCCCATACATACCATATAAAAAAAACAGATAGACATTAGAAAGCTAGAAGAAGTTGATTAAACTCGAACAACGTAGCGAATCGAATGTTTAAGTTTTATTTTTAGTTATAAGTTTGGTAATTGTTTGCTAGATGTAACTAATATTTAAGGTTATCAATATAGTTACGATTGATTTTTGCTGGTGTTGGGAGGTAGATGACGCCCAGGTCATTTTCTAGTGTTGCTTTACTAAACTGTTCATGTACTTTGAAAGTGGTAGTTCGAATAGTTTGCTGGGTAGGTTCATTATTATAGTAGTTATGTGCCCCCAGAACTACTTCTAACCATGAAAAGCTGATAAAACAAAAACAAAGTACAATAAATTATGACGATAACAATTAAGAGTAAATGTCTTACTTATCCATCAAGCAATGCGCAACTGTTAGTACGTATCTCGTGCTGATAAGAGATGCTTCACAGTAGTCCCATTCTGATTCATTGAACATGGTTCTGTAAACAGCCTAGTGGTCGAGGTGTGTTTAGTTTTAAGATATAAAAACACTTTTAGATAATAACAACAGAAGATCAATTCAGACTAGCAAACACGCAACAAGTATCTTTTGAGTACCAATTAGTATTAGTTTTAGTTCATTACTGTGTATGTACAGTACGAATCCATTTAATCGACATACACTGGTTCTTCGAGGTTTATGTTTTGTGTGATCAATTATTGATGTATGTGGTACAGCAGCACACCGACGGAAACAACAAAAAAATTCCGTCAAGCGAGCCAAGCTCCTCAACAGTTACAATGATGGTAGAGAATAGAAGTAAGTCCACTAGCCTTTGGCGATAGCAGTTTTTAGTTATCGGTTATCAATACCAAAAACATATTATTAGTGTGCACCTCGGCGGTAACACACGTAGCGAAACTCTTGTATGAGCGTGGGCATTTCTAATACAATAACATTTGCAAAAATTAAAATAATTTTCTTCAGGTACATCATACATGATAATGGGACATCAATAGTAGATAAGATATCCAACTATAAATATTAATTTCAATCTGCGTATTAGAGTACGGAATACATAATAAATACAATCATTCAAACGATGGACGCATATTAAAAACTGAGAACAATATTTATTTAAATCATTTTGAGCTTCAGTTATTCTATCAATAATTCCATCTTCGCTTTAAGTTTCAGTCTATAAATGTAATTGTCATGCACTTGCACGAATGACTGAGAATATAAATGCTACACGGTTAGCTCATGCGAGCCATGAGCGCCGCCATATTGGCCTTGGCTGCTCTGCCGAGCGCCTTTCACTTTTACCCCTACTCCGCGGTCGGCTGTAATGCGATAGATGGACGAAAAAATTTGAGGCGAAGTAATAAAAGTTCCACATTTATACAAGTAAATAAACGTCTCGATAGAAATAGTGTTTAAATCCCTTCAGTGTTACGGAGTGTGACTATAACATTGCACTTTGTTACAGGGGCTTGGCTAAATGTCTACATATACTGAAAAAAAGCTTACTAATAAATAGCTTTACTAACATTTGATAACTAGCCGTAATTGATTTTTAAGAAAATTAAGTTTAAAAATTTTGAGCTTCCAGGCTCCAGATCCGATTTATGTTAATAATATGCATTTTTATTGAGTATTTTATAGATATAAGTCACAACTTTTCCATGCTAGCCATATTTGAGATTAAGAAAGAAAAACATCGGCCCATCCTAGCGCGCATGCCAGCCAACCATCGAAGTCTTTATCTGACATTTGGTATCTGTCAGCTGTTCTTCGGAGGAATTGTAAACTACAGTGTACATTTTCACCGCGCTGACGAAAATTGTTTGGTTGAATTTTAATATTATTTTATTGAAAAAAGCGGCGAACTTTCACGGCGTACCACTTCTAAATAAAGGTATTATGTTATAGATCGACGATTTACCACGAAATAGGCCGCGTCAAACATTCATATCTCTTAAATATTACCCCAGTCCTTTTAAATTTCGTCCCCTAATGCTTTTTCAAACCCCTTCCAATTTCAAATCTCCTAACCGTTATTCCTTAATCCCAGTCCTCCAAATTTGGGAGTTTAGAATTTGGAAGTAAATGATCTGTGACGTATAGTGTCACCCACGGAATAGCAAAAATAATTTAGATAATTATAATTGTTTCTCCCTAAAACCGAACCCACACACAAAAAAAATCGTACATAATATTTATACATAAACAGCGGTTTTTATTCGCTGGGACCATAAATTCAATTGTATGCATTGAGTTATTTCATTATCGAGTTCATTTTTACAACAATTTGCTGTTAATTGCTAAGACTAATAGTTTACGTTGGCGCACGAATAAATATTCGTAACGACAACTAATTCATTCAATTTTTTTTGTTGAGTGCATAGATAGAATTAGAATGTTATATACATAGAACTGACTACTTCAGATATTTTCAATACTTGCCACGTATGGTATAGAGTTTCGTGCAGGTTCATATCCTCCCACGATCCTTGTATCTTCAGAGGATGCAAGCCGATTGAGTCCTTCGTCAGCTATTTCCCGAGAAGATAAAATGTTAAACCAATCCCCAGTTACGTGAGCCTGCCAAGAACACAAAAAATGAATTTATAATTGATTTAGACCTTCAAATAAATATTACTGCTTTACCGTAACCAAGGAAAATGTGATGAAAATTAAAGATATTTCCTTCATTTCTGCTTGTGACAGATATTGTTCAGATTTTCGTTGAAACTCGTTATATATAGTTATGTTCAAAGTACCTGTGTTGATAAAATCTTTATTACGTTTTTTCTCGAATTGTATCGGTATCATAACCGATACATTCTCAAATCTTTCAGACGAATATGTTAATGCCGATGCTGCTAAAAAAATGAAGATAGTATTCTAAGAATTTTGTAGTTATGTCTAAGGAAGAGATACCTTTTTTGAAGTATTACATACGAGTGATGAACGTTTCTATATTAGACCTACAGAAGAATTCTTAATAATCGGTAGTAGAAATTAATTTAAATTTGTAAACTTCCTGAACAATAGCAATTTTTTTCCTCTTGTGTGAAATTTGTACACTATTGTAAAATCATACATTGGTACACGTAATTTTAATTAGTTTTTGACTGAGCTAGGTAATACATTCAACCTGAATATTAATGTGAAAATTCATTTAATTTTTATCCACTACAAATTATTAAGGAAAAATTATTGCTACTCGGAACGTTTGGTTTTACGCACCAATACTCTGACCACCAAACTACGAGAGGTGACACATTAATATCAAATATTAACCACCAAAAAGAAAAACAAAAGGTTTCTTAAAGAGCNTTCACTCCTCCCTATAATCCACTTTTTGAGTAACGCTGATTGTTCAGATGTAACTTTAGGCATCACGATAACTATTAATACACTTCACCACAGAATAGCAACAAATGATGAAAAATATTAGGGGCAACAGCCATATTATTAGTCGCTATGTATTTGGTTTTTCCTTGATAACAAGTTTGTATCAGGTACGAAACGAGAGTGTCATTAAAAAGCAATTAATGCAATGGTAAACAACAGACTTTTGAAAGTTAAATAATAGGTTTGGCTAGCTTTTATGCAGACAATATATCGAATTAAGTATACCAAAATATACATTTATTTTAAACGCATATGCATTATTCAAAAATCTTGGAAATATGCCTGCATATATGTTATATACATTTTGCATATAATCCGAACTCTAGTAATTAAAATTCGTTTCTTCGATACACTTTGGATAACTGTGTTTTTCTAAAATAGATTGCACTATTACAGTTAGTATTTAAAGCAGATGGTGTGTATACGAAACTAGTCTCGGAAACATCAAATGAAACACATAAGACTCCTTCCTCCACAGTAGCGTTATGATTAGTTTTAGGTAAAAATGTTTTGCAGAAGTTGTCTCAAATAAGATGGTGCTCCATCATAAGTCTGCAGAAGTTTGGTGATGTCTAAATAATGAATTTCCTTACGAATATTTAGGACGTGGTGGCCTCCTAAGCCGTCAGATTTTATGACCTGCGATTTTGTTTTAAAGTCTAAGCATTTCCATCGACCACCGTAAATGATATACAACAACGCATTGTTTGAGGATATGCAGCGTTATATGTAGGTACATTCGCTTTGTAAAATGTGTTGAAAATAACATTCTGAAGAATTCAGATATAAGGATGATATCGGTGAAAGCAATTCTAGCGTTAATTTATTATTCATTATTATTGTTGTTAATTAGTTACCTATCCTTTTACTTTCTTATATACCATATACTGGATGAGTCATAACTATTGATACATAGAACAACAAACGCAGGTTATTTGGACCAAAATATGAAGATTGGTCCAAACATGCCCTAATTTTGCAGTGGATAAAGATACAGGGTGTTAAAGAAAGATAAGATATTTTCGGTTTTTGGTAATGTAATAATTTCATAAATCGTTTTCAAAGAGAGGTGTATTATTTTACTTTCCATTTTACATTTTATATGGGGCTCCACATGAGAGATTTCTGATGATCAAATTGGGTCATACATATTCTTAATGAAACTTTCTAGTAATTTCAACTGTAAAATATGATATAAATATCCTTCTTACGTAAAATGGTTTGATATCAACATACAACATTCAGCGTAGTTTATTCCCGGAACTTCGACCAACGTAACGATCTGCTAAGTGACGTCACCAAGGGTACGGTTTTCCCTTATCATCCCTGCTCCAACTACCTGCACCATCCGCTATAATCGTTCTTGTACATAACTACGCTCTTCTATCTTTCTACTTAAAAACTTGTTTCATTTACTATAATCAATTGGCTTTACTCTATTTTTTTTCTTTTCTACAATTTTTTTACCCTTATGCGGTTGTAGTTTCCCTCTTACTTTTTTTATGAGCAAGACATTATTTTTCTACTTCTTTTTTTAAAGACCTTTTTCCTATTTTGCTAATTCTAAACCTAAAATCACGTATCTTTTTTTTACTTCTATGTTTCCAAGCATGCTCTATCCGTTTCTGCTATCAGTTTTTTCATTTTCCTCCGCGAACTTAACGTTAAAAACGAATTCGTTTTTAGTCATTACTTTCGCCCTTCTCTCACTACCCCACTTTCAACCCCTCTTTTTCCCAACCCTTGTTCGGTACTGAAATTTGTATATATACCCATGCTTC